GTTAAGCCTAAGAGCTACTCAAACTCTGGTTCAAATGGTCATTCGGGGTTGATCTCGGTCGAAAGAATAAATCCCCGAGCATGGATTTTTTTAAAGGTCTCCCTCCGAGACCGACACTTGGTGCGCTCCTTAGCCCGAACCTGAGCAGTTTCCTTTTGCGGAACAGTTTTAGATGTTTTGGCCATTTTGTTTTCGCGAGCAAGGAAGAATAGAGATTGGAATATTTGGTATTTCGGGAAGAACAAGCAAAGAAACTCAAAGACTCAATTCGTTTCTTGTCATTACACTCTAAAAAATGAGGGGACTATCTGTATACAGTCAAAATTGGGCTTGCATAATTTTGTATGGCTGACCGAAATTGGGGTGGTAGATCAAGGCTCGACCTCGGTTATATTAGACCATGGTACATATATGGATTGGTAAGCTCGTGGATCAATGGCCGATCAAGATCGAGACCGAAACAAGAAAGAGATCGAACGAGATCGAAGGAAGCCTGCCAGGTCGAATAACAGAAAGCCGAGATATTCGTGATTGGGCAAGGATCGTGGCGAAAATCTCGGCACGTATCAAGTCAGGACCGATTATTTAGCCCATCATGTGAATTACTTCCGTAGTTAGAATTATACCCTAAATAGGACTCCTCTACTATATAAAGAGGGCCCTAATCATCTTGTAATCATCTTATATTCTGGTATATGAAAGCAATACAATACTTTCTCTCTAGTTTATATTCTTGTTCATCAGCTTGCTTATCTCTTCTGGTTCTGACTAGTTCGAGGGCACTCTAGCTTGAGGACTGAACTACGTTTCCAACACTAGTTTGCTTTATCTTATTATTAATTTTTATTACTAATCTTCACATTTATTAATTGGTATTTGGTGAAATCACGTGTCCTTAAAATCACATTAGAAATTTAATTGTTATCCAATTTTTTGAGTAAACAGTAGGATTTAACGTTCATTTCTTTGTCTCTCTTTGCTTTGTTTTCCTATTCATGAATTCTTGCTACAAATTTATAGTGATTTTCCTGATATTTGTGAGTAACTTTATATGTTATGTTATTTATTTGATGCAAGAACCATGCGCATTCTTTTTTTATTTTTTTGTATTTTTCCCTAGTGCAAGTGAATTCGCCCGAGGTTCATATAATAGAAATGGACAAATGGTATCGTTTAGGCTACATTGTACTATCGAGGTTCATAAATCGATTACATTGTACTATATATGAGTCTATGACTCCAACTTTCTTTGTGTTATCTGAAATACCAATTGATTCCGTTATGTGTCAATGGTTCGGTTCGGCCGATTATTTTATAAAATTTGTACCATACCAATTTTTTGGTTATTCTATTATGTATAACCAAAACTAGACTTTTCGCAACCGTCCCAATCATGTCGGTTTCTCTTCGGTATCGGTACGGTTCGGTTAATTTTCGGTATTTTTTTAAATATCATGTAAAATTCACCAGTAGAAGTAGAATGCAATAACATACGTTCTTTTATAGGACTTAGCAAAACTCTCTAGACATTTTTACTATTTAAAGGGTGATAAATTTAAGAAAAAATAAAAGATGGCTAGAGTATAGATTCATCAACTATTCTACAACAACGTAAAAGAATCCAAACAAAGGCAAAGAAAATATAAATCACACGAGTTAAAAATATTAACCAAGATGAGACTCAAGGATGAAGTCTATAGAAGATTAAATATTCAAAAAGATAAATCTAAATTATATGAAAGGAAACATATTCAATACATGTAGTTTGCTACTCATAATCGCTAGAATACTTTGTGTCTTGCTGATAAAGTTATTTGAAATAAATTAGTTTAAGTAGAAGTAGCATAATTGGTTTTAGGAATTAGCATTTTGAGTTTAATTACTTGTTGGCTTGTAATAGTTTTCATAATTCCAAGGCCCAAAGAAAATTTAATGCATTATTATTTTTAAACTTACTAGATAAATATATTTTCCACATATAAAATTTATTCGGTGCGGCTCGGTATTTTTTCGGTTTATTTTTATAAAATAAAAAACCTACCCTAATTATCGGTGCGGTTATAGATTTATATAAAAACCTACAGTTTTTTAAGAAGAAACCTAAAAATTGGTTCGATACGATACGATTCGGTCGGTTTTCGAATATCCATTGGCACCCCTAGTTATCATACCAACAAGTTTGGCAGGAATGTACGTTTGCTTTGCTTTTATCACCACTCTTGGCAAAGCTAGGTTTCATTAATTGGACAATTCTTGTTTTTGTCCATCTAATGGTTTTCTTTGGTGACTATGCTTCACTTAGAACATGTCAAGACAACTCTCATAAGAAAACCTAATGTTCATTCATACACATAATAACACTCATAAATATTGAGCTGACGCACGGGCTCAGCACAATTCATGAATAATATATAAAATAAATATTGAGCTGGTTCTATACAATTCAATAATCTCTCTACGTACGATATTCATATTTTAGGCATAACATGACACTATAGATTTTTTCTTTTACGGACTTTTAGTGCCAATATTTGACGAGGTAATTGCAGAAGACACGATCTCATCATAATTGCACTCCAATGAAACTAAACTTACATATACAAGAATATTATAATGTAGAATGAAACGCTTAAAAAGTTTTATCAAATACTTCTTAAATATATAAGAAAACATATAATCATGTGAAAAAGAAATCTACTATCTCTCAACAGTAAATACCATGAACTTGGGTAAGTATCTAATATCCACGAAAGACAAGTATAAACTATATATGATATTAATCAGGGTTGTAGTGGCGTGGTAAGTACTACTTCATCCTTAATTAAAGGTTTTGGGTTCGAACCTTGAGTATGAAAGTCGCCTTTGCCTTTGTTAGGGAGACGCTTAACTTCCAGATGTGGGGCTTTCTGAGGCAAATTCAAATTTAGTCGGGCTCTATTGCGAATATTGGACGTTGGATGTTGTTTGACTTAAAAGATATTAAAACCTTTTTGAACAAATCAATCAAAGATGAAGGGGTAAATCTTAGTGAGACATAATTAATTCCAAATCAAAAAATTAACAACAATAATTGCACATGAGATAAAAGAAATATGATTGATCTTATTAGGATTCAACGTTGTGTCTTTCCTCAATCAATGGGGAAGTAGGCATACATATTTTCTTCGAGTTTATTTCTTCTTTTTCTAGAATACAAGAAGAGAGCTTTTTGTTTTCTCTTAGAGAGATCGCTGAAGCCCCCCCTACGGAGAGAGCTTTCCCTGGCTATATATAGTCAGAGCATCCTTGCCCTTTGCTTAACTCGATATCTTCTTACCTCTAATGTGTCTTGGTCATGATTTTAGGCGTCACTCTTACCGATTCGTCAGATGTCATAGAGGAGAAATAGAGTGGGCTCTGTTGACTTTCACTGCCCAGTTACTGAGGTGGGGTGTCGGTCAACTTGGTCGTGACTATCAAATTTTGACCAATATAGTTAGTCCCTTCGTTTGTCGGGGTCGTCCTATGTCGGACTCGACAGATGAATCATGTTCGTTACGAATTCAAGAGAAGTCTGACCTATGACTTTCCGTTCCTTAGTCAAATTTTGTGGGTTTTTAGCAGAGTGGCGGCGTTTTTTCGATCCCCATTGACCGTTGCGGCGGTTTCAGAATCGAAACATCATTTGGTATTGAAGCGTTACGTTGTTTCGTGGTTATCACCATTATGACACACGTTTCTGGGAGACTGAAATGTTTCGTGCCCTTTCAGATTCGATTGGCGACTTTTGAATTTCATGCTCGGGGGATTTATGTCTCTTATAAATAGAGGAAACTTGTCATTCGATTGACACACTTCATCTTTCACTTGGGAGAATCCTGTTGATATACTTCCTTTCCGATACCTCGAATTTCTTTGTGCCCCCCTTGTTTACTGAAAACTTTCATCTCTTCTTTCCGTTATTTCTTTGGCGTACTTTGTGACAAGAATGGCTGGTGATTCTTCTCGTGACAATCTCCCTGCTGTTGATCCAATACCGGAAAGTGCTGCTCAGATCACCGGAGGGGCAGATGTGGTGGAGGATGAGGGGGTCCCATCAGTGATTGAGATCTTACCCCGGCCTGGGAGAGAGCCGACTGACTTCACTACTCCCGCCGGGGTCGAACCAGAACCTGTTCACTCTATTCTGAGGGAGAGGGATATTGTAGAATTGAAAGAAAGGTGGGGGATCCCCAGTTATATCGATATGCGACCGGCAGTGGGAAAAGACATAGTTCACTTCGACCGCCTGTGAGCACGTGATTTTTGCCCCATATGAAATACTCCCACAGAATCCCAAGGAATAGATTTTTTTCTTTTAATTGTTTGCCATTTAAGGAATTATTGTAGAATTTTCTTAATTATTTGCATTTTTTCTGTGCATGTTTAATTTTATTTAATTCATGAAAATATAAAAATACATTGCATTTGCATTTAGGATTTATTTTTACATTTTTAGGTTAATTAGTAAATTAGTTGTTTTACAAAAATGAAAAAATCACAAAGAATAACTCATTTTGCATTTTAACTTTTTAATTTTTGAATTTTATAGTTTTTCTTTTAATTTAGGAGTTATTTAATTTTTGTAAATACTATGAACAGTAATTAGCTTAATTTGGTAGATTAATTTAGTTTTAAGAGTTAATTTAGATTTTAAATTAATTTGAAAAAGAAAAAAAGAAAAAAAAGGGAAGAAAACAATTTGAAATTAAAAAAGAAAGGAAAGAAAATGAAGAAACGCTTTGATTTTGGGCCAAGTCGTACCAGCCCAAGTAATTTTCCCCAAAACCATTCGGATCCGGCCCAAAATCCACGTTGCTAACCCGGTCCATCCTTTTAATTAACCAAACGACACCGTTTGGAGTTCAGCCACTTAGATTCAATCCCAGTCTTCCGTTCCATATGATCTAACGGCGGAAACACTTCCCCCATATTTACTTAAAAGTGTCCAAACACCCTCCAAACAACCTAGTCCAAACACCCCTTTCTGTCCCTCATCGTCTCCAACTCAAAGACATGAAAACCCTAAATGCGGCCTGCAAATCTCAGCCATTCCCACTGGCGTCTGAGCTCCAAACCCCATCAAAATTCGACCATACAACCTCCTTTGCCTCCCCACCCTATTCCAAATCCACCATCGATTTCCTCCCAAAATTACCCAATCCCCTCGAATTTCAAATCTCAGAAGGCAGAAGATTCAATGTGTTCTCCCTTCTCTGATTTTTCCTTCATGTGTTTTTTCCTTGATAATATCACGCATGAATCAACTGGCTATTTGTTTAGTTTCAAGGCATTTCATGGCAGCCAACTTTTGGTCAAGCAACCCACGTTCCAAGCTTCTGCTTCATCTTACTTCTAGGCAGATGTTGAAGGTTGTGATATGGAGCACTAACCGTTGAAGAAATTCCAGTTAGTGCTCATGTTACAATTCTCGCCATTCACCAAAACCCCTTACCAGTCATCAATTTCCCCGAGTCGTCAATCCCTTTAGTAGACCCTGGTATACTTCTCTCCTTTTGTTTTATTTTAGTTTTTATTTTCTTTTCTTTTGATGTTCTTCACCTTAGTTTGGGTTTAAGTCATATTAGTTTTTGTTTGATTAAATCAACATCAATAGTCTAGTAAAGCGATTTTTCGTTCATGATAATTTTTCTTTTCCTTTTATTCCTTTTGCTTTTTCTGTTTGTTTTTTTGAAGTTTCATTGTTCAGAGTTTTGTGGTTTTGTAGGTTTTTTTTTTGTGAAATTGCTTTGGTTCTGAATTGAATTTGGGTTTGATGAACGCCAAAGCCCAAAGGGGGGGGGGGTCAGTCCGGGTTTTGCAAGCTCAGGTCTTTGTTTTGGGTTTTAGGGTCAATTTGACCCATATGATTGGCTGAGGGTAAATAACAAGGGTTACAAGGTTAGTCTAGGGAAATTAATTAAGAGAATCTCTTATAATTGATTTGGAAACTTCCTGGAAGGTGAGGTTTGGGATTAACTTAACAAGCAGGCCGGAAAATCAGGGTAAAAGTGAACAAGTTGAAAATATAAGAAGGGGTAATGGGTAAAATTAGAAACCAATTCTGCTACCCTAAAAGTATTCTATAAAAGGCATATTTCCTTCTCTTTCAAGTCAGATTTGAGAGATTAAAAAAGCTGAAAAATTTAGAAACCAACGGCTGAAAGAATACTCAAAGAACACTGAAATTCCTGCATTCTTTGTTCAAGATTTGCTTGGGGTCTGCTTTTATTCTTCTTAACTTGAAACCTTCAAAAGGTTTCCAGTTCATTTGGGATTCAAAAATGGTTTAAAAGCTGGTTTGTTGCTGATTGGTGTTGCTGACTTACTGCTGCTGCTTCCTCTTAACCTCAAGCTGTTTTCCTTGTTTATTTGCTTTATTCAGGTACACCTCTCGAATTCTGAAAAATGTAAAAGTGGCTTGTTGGATTTGAAGAATGAAGATCCGCAGATTTATTTTTACTTAATGCTTTCTTTTGTCTTTTCATGTGACTTGTTAGTTTATTTCTTTTGTCTCAACATACTAAAAACTGATGTCATACCATGGACATTATAACTTGTATTGGGATTATATTTGGACTTTTGTTTTGTTTGTTTGGTTCCAGCTTGCTTTAAAACTATTTTTGCTGAGTTTTTCGGGTGTTTGTATTATCATATTGTGGGCTCAATTTGGGATAAGTAGCACTACTTTGGGGGTTTGAGTAAATTGGTGCAATTTCAGTGATGTTTAATTTCAGATTACTCTTCATAAATGATTTGGCTGTTTAGAATTTTGTTCTTTAAAATGAGTAAACTCAAGGGCTGCTGGGTCATTGTAATATTTGATGCTTAGAGTGTCTATTGTCAAGATTACAATGTATGAAAATCATGGCAGTAACTTTGGTGTTCAAACGAATGGCATTTCAATTTTCTTCATTTTTGTATCTCAATTAGTTAGTGTACTTCTTGCTTACTCTACTGAAACTGTTCAAGTTTAATTGGGTTTGGACCACAGAAGGGTCGTTTATAGCCCAAAGCTCTTGGTGTCCAAGTTGATTTGCCTTGCAGGGACTCGATCTTGAGTCCAGACCTTTTGGCGTCCACCCCTTCACCAAATTTGGGCTCACTTGTAAATTAGGAATTATATGCCCTATCGTGTTTAGGCCTATTCACTTTTCGAGCTTAAAGCCTCATCTAGCTGCCCTTGCTGGCCCGGGCCATCTTTCAAGTAATAAAAAATCGTTTTCATTTAACTCGATCCCTTCAGCTATTATGTATAGTTTGAATGTAACTTAAATTTGAATTCCCCTAGTCTTTTAATCAATTAATTAGACCTTTGTAGTTTGGGGTGTGCCATGTTACCAAAACCAATAATCTTATGGCCCTCAAAGATTAATTAAGAAACCATTTTAATAGAAGTAATTCGAGGCGTGCCATGCCGAATAAAATCTCAAAACCCATACACCTCATTTAATTAATATTAACTCTTTAAAAATCGAGGTCTGCCATCAATTGAATTTTCCATGGACCTCGTAAACATTGTTTTGAACCTTCGTAGTTGCTTTAGGCGCATTCTTTAAATTGATTTTCTTTAAATTATTAAATCCAGGTGTGCATTTCATGTGACCCGATTCTAATTTTTTAACAATGTTAAATAGAACGTGTCGCAAATCATGGGTGCATTTCATATGGCGTGGTTCAAGGCGTGTTTTAAATAACGTTGAATCTTCCTAAAAATAATTAAAAGCGTTTAATAAGTTAAAATGTACCATAGGCTAAAACATGTATTAAAATCAGATAATAGGCCAATTATAATAGTTTAAGCGACTGTGCTAGAACCACGGAACTCGGGAATGCCTAACACCTTCTCCCGGGTTAACAGAATTCCTTACTCGGATTTCTGTGTTCGCATACATAAACAGAGTCAAATCTTCATCGATTCGGGATTCTAAACTGGTGACTTGGGATACCATAAATTATCCCAAGTGGCGACTCTGATTTTTAAATAATAATCCCGTTTCGATTGTCACTTTAAGTTGGAAAAAACTCCCTTATATCCCTTCCCGTGGGTAGGAAAAAGGAGGTGTGACAGCTCTGGAGACTCTGCTGGGGATCGAACCCAGAATCTCTGGTTCAGGGTTCAAGAATTCGAGCTTAGAATAATTGATATATTTGGTTTTATTTATTATCTGGGTTTTTTCACATATTTGGGCCTAATGTGCTAAATGTTCCTTTTTACCGCTTTGATATTGTTGAACTGTATATAAATTGTTACGAATCTCTCCTCTCTCTAGGTCTTCTAAATCATCTGGGAAGTGTGCACTTCGTGTGACTTCTTTTCTGTTAGAGTCATATCCCAATTTTATAATGAGGTTCGGACAAGTTGCAAAGCCGGCGAAGCTTCTGTGTTCCCGGTACACTGCCTCCTTCGGCTCGAGTTGTCCGCTCGGGTAAGCCAGGTCTAGAACAAATAAACCCATATTTTCAAACCTAGTATAACATAGCCTCATGCCGGATCCCTAGTAGAAGCGCTTGTTTGCATCATGTGCATTTTGACTTTGGGGACTCAACACAGGGGTTGTGTCCGTCTAGGACATGTGCACCTGAAATCAAAAGACCATCCTAATGCATTTTGCTTGCTACTTACTCATTTATTTGACTCGGATTGCATGTTGACCGGCTTCTAGAATAAGGGAGAAATTTAGAAAAACCAAATTGAGGTGAAAGAGAGGAAATTACCCGCTTGTGAAAAACCTGGTGTCCAAAATATCCCGAAACTCTATCAAAATTTTCAGAAAAAGAAAAAGAAAAAACAAGTTATTTCTAAAGTTTGTGTTTTCTATTGCGTCAAAAATTGACCGAACTACGCAAGTTTGATTCTCACCGGATGTGGGATACGTAGGCAACCCTCATCGGGTCCAACTCCCTTTTGCAAAAATAACCAAAAAAATATGAAGTGTCGATGTTTTGTCATAAATAAATTAGGTGGCGCCATTCTTGTCCAGAATAGCCAAAAATGCTCCAAAAGGTGCTAGAAGGCTGTTTTTGTAAGAATAGCCACCTAGAGTCCTTTTTTAAAATTTTGGTTGATTAACAAAAATAGCCCTAAATTTTTTTCTTTCTTGAGGTGCTGAAGGGCTGTATTCGCAAGAATATTTTTTGTGAAAATGGGTGTTTCTCTCTTGAGTCAAAGTAAACCATAATCTTTTAATCAATCACCTTAAATAAATGTGCATGATGAGCACAATTGAAAATAAACCTTTCACAGTCCGCGAGGAAATCCCATTAGAACTACATATGTGGTGGAATGATTTGGGAGAAGTCAGCAGAAAAACGGTGATAAATGCTTTGGGTGGTCTTGTTGGGATTCTGAAGATTAATCCAAGAAAGGATATAATTGAGGCTTTGATACCCTTCTGGGACCCAGCACATAATGTGTTCCATTTTTCTAATTTTGAGTTAACTCCTACGCTTGAAGAAATAACGGGTTACACTGGTTTTAGCCGGAATCTCAGAAACCAATACCCGGTGGCACCTAGAACAGTGACTCCTCATAAGTTTCTAGACTTTCTAAGCATTAGTCGGGAAGTTTAAGACGGAAATTTGGCCAAGGGGTTCTGCACATTCTACTTCTTGTACTGACGTTACGGGATTCCCCACAGTTTTAAAATACCGGATACTGGACTTACTCATTCGGGGAATAAAGATAAGTGGGAAGCTCGGCGGGGACTGACTTTTATAGTGGCATTCCTGGGTGTTTTTATTTGTCCAAGGAAAAATGGAAACATAGAATTGGGGCTCGTGGGAATAGCCGACTTCATGACTAAAAAGGCAAATTACACCATTGTACCGATGATCTTGGCGGAGATTTACCGAGCTCTAACTGTTTGCCGGGAAGGAGGGAATTTTTTTGAAGGATGCAATATGCTTCTATAACTCTGGATGGAGGAATACCTGTGTCACTACCCGGGGTACATGAACCTGGTATGACCGATCTTCAATGCATTGAAAAACATGAACAACGGGTGGAGGGTTATGAGTTTCCGGATGGTATGGAAGCATGGTTTGCACACTTGAGCTCCCTGACCGCGAACAAAATTGAGTGGACATTTGGGTGGCTCTCGGTCAATAAAGTCATTTATATGTCATCTGAGGTGTGTTTTCTTCTATTGATGGGTCTCCGGAGCATTCAGCCTTATGCCCTGCACAGAGTTCTACGCCAGTTAGGCAGGTACCAGACCATCCCACATGATGAGGATTCGAGTCGGCAGGTCATCGAATTGGAACCAAAGGCTGCTTTCCCAGAGGAAAGGGTGCATCTAATTTGGCATCAATATAGGTTCTTAGAGCCAAAGACTCAGGTACGAGATCTATCCAGAGGCGAGTTAGAGCCTAGTTACACAGCTTAGTACGGTAAAAGATCCCAAGTCCATCTAGAGCCCGAATGGCCCGCAAAAAGGCCCCATGTCCAACAATTTACTAATGGAGCACAGGAGCAATGAGATTGGTTGGCAAAAGAGGCAAGCTACAGAGCCACCATAAGCAAATTGGAAGGACAAATCCGGGATCTTAAATTTGACAAAAGTGTACAGGCCGCTGCCGATAAAGGGTAAAAGAAGAAATTTGTTCAAGAAAATAAGGCCCTTCGAGCACAGATCCAAAAAATGAGAATGGCTGCTGAAAATCAGGAAAGGAGCCAGAAGGATAAAGACTCATAAGTAGTCTCAAGAGGAAAATAGCTGAGTGTAAGGATAATCTGAAAAAATCTGAGGGTAATCTGGCGAAAGCCCGAGCACAGTTAGTGAAGAACGTAGAGGGGCGAGTAGAGTTTGTCCGACAGTTGAAGAGGAAATATGAGGGAACGGCCACCAATTTGAAGAAAAGGCTAACTACCCTCGAAAATGAGATGGCCAAGCAAGATGAGAACTTTAAAGCAGAAAGGGAACATTGCTATGCATTAATGTCCCAGTTGGAGGAAGATATGCAATAGTTGCAAGGTCAAAACCATCGTGATGCCCAGGTGCTAGAAGCTAGAACTCAGCAAATAGGGCGTTTACTCCAAGAAAAGGGTATCATCACAGAGAGGGTTAGAGCCATTGCTGACTACATCGTCATGAAGTGCCATGAATGTGAAGACATGACTAGAACCACCTTCTTTGCTGCGGTAATGACCTTTGTTCGCCAAATAATGAGTGACCTGTAGCGTCTTCAAAGGGATCTTGCGCATAGGCCCGTGGCGAGACCGACTGATGTCTTGCGGGCCCTTTGAGTAGTTGAAGCATTGATGTATTCATGATTTTCATTTTATTTAGTCTGTTTTCGAGTTTATATTTTTATCTTTCTGTTGGAGCCTATTAGTCCCCCTTTTCGAGTCTGTTAATTTTTATGATTAAATTCAGTAGGATGAGTCGTTGTAATCAGAACGTTTTATTTTATGAAAAAATTGAAAACCCCAAAATGTTTTTTATTTTTTATGCTTATCCCCTAGAACTACGCTTGGTCTGATTCATGCAGCGTCATGATACATTGGCAATCCCCATAGGATTTGATCATAACCATGAAAAAAAAAGAAAGAGAGAAACAAAAGAAAATAGAGAAAACAAGAAAAA